AGTGGTGGCCAGGCACGGTGGAAGTGGGGTGAGGGCAGCAGGCCCTGGGTTTGCTCAGACCCCCTGCCATGGCTGGGGGTGGGCCTGGAATGACTGACCACCATAGGCTGGGGCCTGGACACCTGAGGTGAGTTAACAATGAAGGGGGGGGGACAATATCCTGGGAGAACCCATAGCTGGGCAAGGACCTGGCTTCCCCACAGACAGGGCACCTGTCCACAGGAACATGCAGGACCTACAGGGCCAACCCCGTGTGGCAACAAGATTCAATCAGTAGCAGCCCAAGTGGCCCTGCCCGCTCATGGCTCCTCCACTTGGGAAGTCCCCACCACTTCCCACCCTCCGCTTCTGACTGGTGAGACTGGAATACGCAGCTTTACCTCTGTGTACACTTCACAGAGCCAGGAGAGTTCTGGATCTGGTAGAAGTGAACCACAAGCTGCTCCGTGTTATAATTTAGAGATTCCAAGACCTGAAGTCAAGAAGGTTCTGATCATGGGTGCAGACAGAGTCAGTGGAGAAGGGGTGGGAGCCCCAGCTTTGGCTTCAGACAGATCAAGGTTTGAACCCCAGCCGTGCCACGTATGAGCTGAGTTTCCCGTACATACCCAATGAGGTGACAGTCCTCCAGAGAGGGTGAAATGAGATCACAGGGGAAGGCGTTCGCACGGGGCTGACCTAGTCAATAAACAACAGCTGCCACTATTACCACCAACCACAATGAACTGCATGTTGGCGAAACTGCTGGGAAGGAGGGCTGAAGACACCCCTGGGGGCAAGGACAATAATGGAAATGAATTATGTTCATACCTATGGGCTCTTTTCTTTGTTTAGTGTGCTGTTTCAATTTTTGTAATTTACCGGACTCAAAACAGTATTTTCTCGGAAGGAAGTAGGCGCTGAAGGAAAGAAGGCAGTTTGCAAGCTTATGGGTTGCCCAAGTGCAAGTATGGGCCACAGGTGGGGCCTTGCAGGAAGGGACTTTATTTTTACCTTGTATGTAAACATGATTTTACATGTTCTGAGTAACTCGGTGGTTTCAAGCCCCCATCTCTTGGGAATGTCCCCACCATCCTGCCCTCACTTAGTTAACCATACTTCCAGGCTTGGAGGAGGCTCTTCCTCTTCTATGGAGGACCGAGGAAAACTGTCAAGGTCAGGAATTATTCCGTTCTTTTCTTCCTTCTCCATAATAAGGAGATTATTAATGAAGAAAGAAAGAATCCATAGTGAAACTGGAATAAGAAAATTAAAATTTTCTGGCTGGGCGCAGTGTCTCACACCTGTAATCCTAGCACTCTGGGAGGCCAAGGCAGGAGGATCACTTGAGCTCAGGAGTTCAAGACCAGCCTGAGCAAGAGCGAGACACCGTCTCTACTAAAAATAGAAAGAAATTAGTCAAACAACTAAAAAATAGAAAAATTAGCTGGCATGGTGGCACAGTGCCTGTAGTCGCAGATACTCAGGAGGCTGAGGCAGAAGGATTGCTTGAGCCAGGAGTTTGAGGTTGCTGTGAGCTGGGTTGACGCCACAGCACTCTAGCCCAGGCAAGAGAGTGAGACTCCATCTCAAAAAAAAAAAAAAAAGATTAAAGTATCTTTCTGCTGTGGAGTTGGTGTTTCAGTGGAACAGTCATCCGTACAAAGGCATAGATAGGTAGATAGATAGACGATAGATAAAATAGAACATATATCTGTCATACTTTATTTCATTTCAATGATCACTTTCTTCCAAATAGAACTGAAAATACCAGTCCATAATTAGAAGTTGCCAATATTTCTTTTCATTACCAAAGATTTGTCTCCAATTTGTACTAAATCTGAGAGAGAAACCATTTCCATGGGTCTATATGAAAAAGCAGGTACATGGAGTGATCCTATTGTTGTCCTGTTTTTTTTTCCAACTATCCAGCAGTGGTAGCTGAAAAATGATAGGAAACTGATCAAGAACACTGCAAACACAAAGGAAAGAAAAAGTAAGTGGAATTTTGTACATGTATCTGAGAGTTTATTTGTCTAAAGAGCTTTTTATAAAAAAAAGTACTGAAAAACTGTTTCCAAAAAAAGGAAATACCATTAAAACAGCAGGAAGAATTTGTTATAAGAAAGTCCCACACAGGCTGGGCGCGGTGGCTCACACCTGTAATCCTAGCACTCTGGGAGGCCGAGGCAGGCGGATTGCTCAAGGTCAGGAGTTCAAACCAGCTGAGCAAACACGAGACCGCCGTCCTCTACACTATAAAAGAAAGAAATTAATGACAACTAATATTACGAAAAAAATTAGCCGGCATGGTGGCACATGCCTGTAGTCGCCCAAGCTATCGGGAGCGTTGAGCACGAAGGATTGCTTGACCCAGGAATTTTTGAGGTTGCTGTGAGCTACGGCTGACCCACGGCAACTCACTCTAGCCTGGCAACAAAGTAGATCTGTCTCAAAAAAAAAAAGTCCCACACAGTTACTCACTAATTTCATTCGAAACTACGCATGATCATGTTTATCAATGACAGCTCTTCAGATATCTGTTCTGAACCCAGAGTGACCCCTATAGAACAGGGGCAAGTCCTTACTGCTCTTCTCAAAATTTCTTGTTGTCTTTCTTGGCTGAATTTCTTTTCATAACATTCCTTTTCGGAATTGGACAAAACTCTTTGTGAGTTGGGGGAAGCAGGAGAATGTGGAAAAATGTGTCACCAACACAACATCGTTTCCTTATTATTGAAACGTGTAGGGTGGTTTTCTCTTTTTAATCTTTCAAATAAGTTTCAGTGAACATCCTTACAGCCAAACTTCTGTAGCTATCCATAATAGATTAAGGAGATTTTGTTTTTGTTGTTATTTTTATTTTTGCTTGCTCTGTAATCCAGGGCTAGAGTGGAGTGGCATCATCATAGCTCCATGCAGCCTTGAAACTCAGGCCAGCCAATCCTCACTGCCTCGACACCTTTGGTAGCTGGGGCTATAGCAAATGCCACCACCATGCCCAGCTGAAAAGATAAGAAAAAGGATTTTTTAAAAATCATAAACCACTTTTGGGAGTTGGGAAAGACCATATTGGGCAAAGAAAGAAGAGAGAAAGAGAAGAAGACGAGGAGAGAGAGACAGAGAGAAAGAGAGAGAGAGAAGAGAAAGAAGAAGAAGAAGAAAAGAAGAAGAAGAAAGAAAGAAAGAAAGAAGAAAGAGAAAAGAAGAGAAAGAAAGAAAGAAAAGACAAAAAGATACATAACCACTGGCATGTTGTGTTCCACCAAACCCTGCTGCAGTGGGCGCTTGGGTGGCCAGAACTTTGTAAGTGCTCAGGTTCATGGCTGGAGAATGGGCTTCTCTCACATACGGAAAGAAAACAGGCATGTCAGTGTACAATGACTAAAGG